TCACAAGCCTGAGTATAGAAGTAGAGTATCACATAAAGAACATATGTACTAAACTTGCCAGACTATTAAGCACACCTGTATATAAACCGCACCAGCTGATTTTTAAAATAAAGTATTGTTGTCCACATATAGGCAGCACCTGAATATAAGCTGCATGTTGCGATGTAACAATTAGCAACAGCTGATGGAGCAAAACAAAGGTGATAAACAAAGGTTTTAAGTGGACACAACTTTGACAGTAACCATGCTTCCCATCCCCACTCAAATGTGTATGTGTCCGTATGTATGTATATGTATATATGTATGCATGTATTTGTATGCTTGTATGTACGGATGTATGTGTGTGTTCTTATGTATGTATGTATTATGTGTTTATTTGTATGTGTTTGTATGTATGTATGTTTGTGTGTGTCTGTAAGTGTATGTATATGTATGTACGGATGTATGTGTATGTATTTATGCGTTTGTAAATTTATGTACGAGTGGGTTTGTATGTATGCATGTGTGTTTGTATGTATGAGTGTGTTTGTATGTATGTATGCATGTATGAGTGTTTGTATGTATGTATGTATGTATGTATGTATGTATTTATGTATGTATGTATGTGTGTGTGAATGTGTGTTTGTATGTATGTATGCATGTATGAGTGTTTGTATGTATGTATGTGTGTATGTGTGTATGTATGTTATGTATGTAAAATGTGTACAGTAGGTATGTGCATGTATGAGTATGTATGTGTGCAAGTATATGTAAGTGTATGTAAGTATGTATTTATGTATATATGTATGTGTATATATGTATATATGTATGTGTATATATATATATATATATATATATATATATATATATATATATATATATATATATATTCATCCAGTCTTTATGTATGTATGTATGTAATGTATATATTCATCCAGTCTACTCTGTATGTATGTATGTAATGTCTGTATGTATGTATTTATATATTCATCCGGTCTACTCTGTATGTATGTATGTATGTATGTATATATTCATCCAGTCTACTCTGTATGTATGTATGTATGTAATGTCTGTAATTCTGTATGTATTTATATTTTCATCCAGTCTACTCTGTATGTATGTATGTATGTATTTATATATTCATCCAGTCTACTCTGTATGTATGTATTTATATATTCATCCAGTCTACTCTGTATGTATGTATGTAATGTATGTATTTATATATTCATCCAGTCTTTATGTATGTATGTATATATTCATCCAGTCTGTATGTATCAGGCTTGTGAGTGTCGCGGGTAAAAGCCACTTACCGCTGCTGAAGGTCAGAGAGGCAAGTTCACCAAAAGTACGTGCCCACTTTAGGTTTTGCGTCGCACTTGAAAACAGCGCTTTAAACTCTGCGTCAGTTCGAACAAACTAAAAGTGCACGGACTCGTTTTCTCGCTGTCCTCGTCCTGTAAAATCCACCACTGCTCGCTTTGGGGAGTTTTCTGTTTTCTGAGATGTGTGTGTTTGCGTGCGTGTGTGAGTCTGAGGGAACACGGGGGAAAGCGTCTTCTGTCACCTGCACCACCGCCAATGGAGAAGCGGCCGCGGGGCATGATGGGAAATGTAGTCGTGGGCTTGTGTAGGCTGTTTCAGGCGCGTGACGTGATGACAAGGTTCAGGAAAATGCGTCAAAAATGCAGAAGAGGAACTTACGAGATTCCCCGAAAAGTGTACTGCTAAATGACAAATAAAAATGTACTAAATTACATGAATTATAGAGTTTCAGATTAGTTTGGTATTACTTCATGTGGCATGTCATTCTAGACCCTTCTCCACCAGCTTTACGTGTCTCTTCTCTTCTCTACAGCAGTGTCAGTATCTCGCAGGAAGAAAGGCCTGATTTTCCGCTTGTCAAACCAAAACTTCCTAGTCTCCGAGCTGCTGTTTCCTGAAATGAAACATTGAGGATTTTTTTTCACCATTGAAGTTTGAAAATATGTACTTTCCAAATCGCCAACAGCCCACTTATTCAGTTTGAAAGTTGTAAACATTGATGAGAGGTGATCAATGCAGAAGGAACATTTCACAATCCAGCAAAAACAATGTGGCTAAAGATTAAACAAGTACAAAAAAGTAATGGATAAGTTTTGTGTCAAAACTACGATAGTATTTAAGTAATAATAGCTTCACCAAAACTACAGATCTACAGCCTGTCCAATTGCACAACCAAATTCCTTTCTAAATATGGGCTTCCCTCTAAATGCAGTATACGATTAGAAAATTAAGGACAGAAGAAAACACAACAAAAATATGTAAATGATGTATGATTTTATTCAGTGCACAAGGTTTTCAGTTCAAGTTTTGACAAATAGAAACTAGACTGTTGTGGATTTAACCTCAACCACATGAAAATAAATGACACCAAATACTGCTTCATAATCTCAACATTATATAATGATTATTTTTGGTATAAATTGAAATAGTCATATTTTAGCCATTGATTCTGGTGGACTTACATGTGTGTTACATTCAATAGTCATGGAACACTTCTAGGCATTCACAATAGACACAGTTGAGGTGAAGTCAAGAGAATTACGATCAGGGTTTCTGAATGATTAAATACATTTGAGGTAATTGCCTTTTTGGACCCTTTTGTGCTTAAATAAGAAAATAAATATTCAACTTTAAAGCGATCAAAACAAAAATCAAGAGACAATAGTTCAGTGGTTCTCAAGCTCCTCTCCTTTGTCGTCGTTCACAATCTATGAAAATGGGACCAATCTGGCTTTAGTCTGGGTAGCACTCACAGCAAGAAGGTCCTGGGTTTGCATGTTCTCCCTGCATATGCATAGTTTAGCTCTGGGTGTTCAAGGTTCCCCTTCCACACAAAAAAAAAAATAGGTGAAAATGGTCCAGCTCTGGTCCTAAACTAGCTGCATCCCAACATCCGGGGATTTTGTTCTACAGCGACCACTGGGGCCTTTCAGGATGGATCAAGTGCAGAGGACACATTTCCTCAGAGAAAACTTAGGTTTATCTTTCATTCATTCATTATCCAGGCTTCCCTCTTAACCCTTTGGGAATGTAAAAAGCCTAGGTCAAAAACTATAGGAATGCTAGGAAAAAGATTTGTAGTATGTCCATTGAAATTAGTTGGGTCCTGGTCAATTAGTGAAGTCTCAAATTCATATCTTTGAGTCATCTTTTTTATATAGCGCATTTCACAGACCAAGGTCACACGGGGCGCTGACCAGTGATTTCTGTTCATTCCACTCACAGTGAAGCGAGATGCCGACCACCTACACATCAGACGTTCACTCACTCGTTCCTATGGTGTACATGGGAACCTACACAAACACAGGGAGAACAAGTAAACTCCACACAGAAAGACCTGGAGGTGAAAACAAACCCAGGATCTTCTAATAAAACATAGGGCTTTTTAGGAGACAAGAGAAGCTTTTGGAGAGGAGAGCAAGATTTGTGAATAAATGAAAAAAATTAATCAGCAACTGTACCAATAATTTGTCTACTGTCTTTGGAAGAACTGAACATCTCTTGTCCTTGTAGAAAGTGAAGCAGACATTGTTTTTTACATTTTAATTTAAGTAGGAAATTATTTTTTTAAATAAATAATATGAATCAATATATTTTTCAAAATAAATTGGCGTTGCTGTGTGCCCCTCACTCATTGAAACCCACTGAACTACTTCTGATTGACGCAAAAGGCAGTGTCAAGCTTTTAGATATGTTGATGATAATTTAACAAGTTGGGTAAAAATAAAGTAATTTACACACAATAAATTAAAATAATAAAAATCTCTATAAAGCCGTGTTTCTCAAGTAATCGTCTCTCAAGCAGAAGTTTAACTATGGACAAAACACATGGTGGTGATACTGAACTAGGTACTCAGGCTAAAACACTATCAACAAATTTCAAATGTATAGTACAACCTGCATGTGACAGATAGATCCTCTCAGACCTCTGAGGTTAAGCAGGGTTAGTACTGTGATGGGAGACCTCTGGGAACACCAGGTACGACAGTAGGTGCAGATGTAAAGTGGCAAACTCTGGTAGAGTCCTTGGGCAAGACACTTCATCCACAGTGCCTTGTAAGAGTTTGAGTGTAAGAGTGTGTCAGACTGGTTGCCTCGCTTCTATCAGTGTGCCCCAGGGCAGCTGAGGCGACAGTCGTAGTTTGTCACCTCTGTTTATCGTGTCTTTGAATGTACAAAAATTATTAATAATATAATTAAGTTGACATTGATTTAGGTTTCTTCATTCACGTTTGGACAATACAAAAACGCTAAATGCAAGAATTTAGAACTGAAGGGCGAAGGATACTTTTATTTGGCTAGTTGTATACATTATATTTCTTTCTGCATATTATATATATATATATAAAATGGTGTGTGTAACAAGTTTTATTTTCAGTTTTTTCAAAATTATTTGTTGCCAGGGCCTTTATATCTCTATAATGCCCAACTTTCTATTGAGTGCAAAGACGTTTTGTGAATCTTTACAAGACATTGCACAGATGAGTAAACCATAGACTGTATACAGATGGACAGTGCCCAATAGAGAAGTGCTCATGGTCAGTCCACTCCTAATATATGTTCAATGGAGTGAACAGAAATCGTAATCACCTCAGATTGTGTTAAGCATGGGTGAAAAAAAAGGGATAGTTCCTGCTGTTGCCAGTAGAGGGCGACAGACAAGGGAAATTAAACACTATCCCTTCACATTTAGACTGAACGATTGACATTTGAAGAAGTTTAATTTGAAGCAAAACTGCATCCATGAGCACTTCCCTATTGGGCTTCCTTGAGCTAGCGAGTAAGCATTGTCCATCTGTATACGGTCTATTCTCAGGAATGCATTGAATGAATTCAGGCTTTTGAGCAGTCAAAATGACACTGTTCGAGTTCCATATCACACTGCGGAACTTTCCAAGCATAAGCGAAACTTTTCATATCAACCAGCGCGGCCAGAAAAGTAATGCACTGCCCTTTATGTGAGTAAAACATGTTTCGTTTCAGATGTGTGAAGAGAAGGGGTACTGCGGGTGCCACCAGTCCATGAGGCGCACACTGTGGACGGGGTCGAGGACCACCTGGACGCCCCCCTGCTCTGGCCTCTTCTTGCCCCGGGGCAGAGGGGAGTCGTGGAACACCAAACGCACTCGGTGATGTCGCATGTCGGTGCTGACGTTCACCGTGAACTGAGGACGAAGAGCAGAGACAACATTAGTGCGTTTGGTTTGAGGTGGTTAAAGCCTGTGGCAAGTTGAAATACTTAATATTAAATCATATCCTAATTATGTAATACAGTGGTCCCTTGTTTACCGTGGGGCTTATGTTCTAAAAATACCCTGCAATAAGCGGAATCCTTGAATTAGCAGTTGTACGTTTTAAGGCTGTATAACCCCTCATCACAGACTTTAAACACTTTTCCAACCACCTCAACTCAAGACTGCTGAAGTGTGCGATATCAAACCTGTTAGCGCTCAGACTTACAACCAACAGGGGCTTTGAAACCTTAAAAACAGAGGTAATACTAAACATATTGTGGGTTATTTTTAGCCGAGGGACCGCTGTATTCTAATTGACAATATAAAACAGTATGGATTTGTTTTGGTTAACATGGCCCACGTCTAGGTTTGTCTTTTTGAAACAAAGCTTAGACTGACCAGAGCGAGCGTCATGCCCATCACCACGGGGCTGAAGATGAAGTTGAGCGTTGTGACTTGAAGCATGTAACAGTCCGAGTCCGGGTTCTTGTGCACGTCTTCGTATTGTTGGGGCAAACACAGGACTTGAGAACGGCCGTTTTTGTAATGCCCCCGCTGGAAAGAACATGTCAAGAGGTTGATTTGTAATCAATGCATTTATAAAATCAATCTAAAATCAGTGCTGCATTGGATCGGTCACATTGATTCCTTTACAGTTCAATCATTCGATCATTAAATGATCATTTTGACCTGGTTTAGACATTTTACCGGCTTCTCAAATTTGAAGTTGAATTCCCACAGTGTTTCAGGCCGAGTCCCTGATATCTTTTGGACCCAGAATAGCAAACACTGCAAGACAAAAACGGATACATTTATTATACCACAATTTTGTATTGTCCACTGATTGGTCACACTATCTACATTCTGCCCATCCTGCACTAAACTTACATATTTTTACACATATTTATGACTCCTGTAATGAAACATTTACAGATAATTATCTCTGTGTATCTTGTCTGCCTTTACTACCGTCATTTACATTGGTATGTAAATGTTTACATACCAACATTTCCCCACTGTAGGACTGTAGGATAAAAGGTTCTCTTATCTTATTACATGTTAAACCCGTCTCAAGGCACATTACCTGCTGGACTATAAACCGGTGTATAAACCGCACCATTTTGTCCACATACAGGCCACACTTTAATATAAGCCACAGGTTTTCATGTTGTAATGTAGCAGATAGACAAGTATTTTAACTGTTCACAACAGGATTTAATAATGAGGTGTTTAACCAATTCTTTGGTCAGCTCTGGTTGTGAAGAGCTCCAGCTGATCTGACGCGTTTTGACGTACCTTTGAGTTTATTAGAAAAGAGGGCGTGGTTTCTGGCAGGGGCGGGACTTGTGAAACTCTCAGCGTGAATGGTTCGTACAAATGAAAGAGCGAGCGAATCACACGCGCTCGTAAACATCGCATCTTCTGCACAGAGTCGGGCTGGAGACGCAGCGGCAAAACTACATCCATCTTGTAGTGTCTGCAACAGTGAGAGCAGAAAAGCGTGAGAGTTAAAGATGGGATCCTTGAAGGGAGAGACTTTTGTTAGTATATAGGGGCGAGTTTGCACCTTTTATAGAGGCGGGTCCAGAAAGCAGCTGTGCAGGAAACGATCCAGGCGTTTCGACAGATCAGAGAGAACGTGCAAACATCTTCAGGACGAATGTAGGAGGACAACACCAGCCAGATGTCCACAGGGTACTCCTGCCCATCACTGCTCTCACTGTTCCCTGGACATAACACAGGGACAATAAGGAAAAGCTAAAGTATTTTGGAAAACTTGGAGACACAATAAGGTGACATTCAATTTAATTTATTTATGTACAGCCCTTAATCATAACAGCAGTCGTCTCAGAAGACTTCGGTTCGCCAACAACAGCTAAGAGAATCAAACTATTTTAACAAAAAAAATGCAATAATAACAATTGGTTCATAGGGAGTGGGATGAACACTGTCCATAATATTTATTAATGCGTTTCCTGAGTTCAAACTGTTTGATTCTTCGATTTATTTTTTAGTGAAGCGACAACTTTGTAAAGTCCTCTGAGACAACTGCTGTTGTGATTTAGGGCTGTACAAAAATACATTTTTTCAGCAGTTTGGGCAGCTGACCGGATAAATATAGTTGACATTGACCTGAAATAGAATACAAAATAAAAGAATGTATAATAGTCATGTATCAAGAGAAATAATTTGTAATGACTTGGAACAAGACTTAAAGATTTATTAGAAGTGTGTTAGTACATTTAAAGCAGTATTCCAGCAATATTCCAACGCAGAGAATAAGGACATTTGTTATAAACACAAAACATCTATGACTGCATTTCCTTATTGTGCAGTTCTTGTGCAGTCTGTGTTAAAAGCATGTAAACAGTGAATACCTTTCCTTCTCTTGTGTTTCTTCTTGTGGGTTGTTTTAGACGGATTCTCCTCCTCCTCCGGCTCCTCGCTGCTTTCCAGAACATCCCCGTTCACACCAACGGCGGACGTGAGAACCTCGTCCACGGTGCCCTGAGACGCTTCCAGACCACAGAGGGACTTTGCTGCAAACACACCAAGAATCACTCATCAGTTCATGCACAATATAACCTTCATTACAATCACTTCAGGGCTCATTAGAACGTTTAATCAATATGGATCTGAAATGTTGAGAGAGCAAATTACTTTCCCTGATAAACAGCAGAGAAAAAGACACATTTGTGGAGAAATAAATCCACAGCCAAAGAGCCGTCAATGAAAAAGTAAAAGCTTGTATGACTCAGCTGTTGTGTCCAGCTAATGCTACTGTAATAGTGAAACTTACAACGCAATAATACAGCAAGACCAAAAAGTTATATCTACATTATGTAATACTTGCCTTCTTTGGCCACTGCATTTACAACAGCCTTCTTCACTCTTCCAGACTTCACTACGGCTGGATCGGCATTGGCGTAATCAGCAACGGAGACTACAACAGGATAAAAACACTATAATTAACTCAATTCATCTCTTATAGCATTGTATGTACGCATTTCATTTCAGAATTAGACTTAGACTTAGATATGGCCTCGTTCACACTAAAGGGTACAAAAGTATGACAGAAAGATATAATCAGAAGACATATTACTGTTTTCATTTATCCAAATAGTTGCTAGAAGATATGGGAGACTAATGTATAACACTTAGCAGCTGTTTATCTGTGTAACCTGATCCTTTAATGGAATGAGCTGCGGACGTTTGTTACATATTTTCAGATTTCCACATTTGATTCATAGATTTTTTTTTTTTGGTAAAGTGATTACTTTTATATAGAAAACAAATTAAATGTGATTTTTTCTCAAGCTTATTTTTTTATAAAAAAGAATGACGGAAACCATCACGTCTGTTTCACATTTTTATAGATTATGTGATTTGCTGATTTTAATGTTAATCTGTGAGAGTTCATCCCCCGCTTTATCACTGATGACCTTTAATTTTCTAAGTAACTGGAGTCACAGTAGAATTATCCAATCAGAGGCTGATCTGGTTTTGTCAATCTTTTCTTTTGATTTTTTCCACCATATCTCTTTAATATGTCTGAATTTAAAAAAAAAATCTCATCTATGATTATAGTTTTAATTTTAGTTTTTTAGTTTTTGAGTCATAACCTTTTAGAGTCCGGATACTTTTAAAAGGTTATATAAAGCATGAGTAATTGACACTTTACTATGAACACACCCATACACCGGCCATTGCATTTAAACTCATTTCATGATAAAACCATCTATATTAACATAAACGTGTGGCAACACAGTCATATTAGAATATATGAGAACACCAAACTGACTTGTAAGCTCATCTTTATGATATAAAAGTTTCACATAACCTCTGACAGCAGCCAGCAAGTTAGCATTGTTAGCATGTTAGCAAGTTAGCATTGTTAGCATGTTAGCTCAGCTCATACCTGATTCGGAACACACGTCCTCTGCCCTAAATTTCAGCCGTTTTCTGTTTCCTTTCTTGGGCATGTCGAAAGGGGGATTTCTCTGTGAACACTTAGCGGGGCTGTGGTTTCTGCCATGTCTGTATGGCAAGCAGGAGAAGAGAGAAAGAAAGAAAAATAATAGAGAATTTAAACAGTGTACCACCGGGATCTTCGGCCATCATGGACTGACGCGACATGACAAGTATCGCGAGACTACAGTTCACCCGCCCTCTGTTGGCAGAAGAAAACATAATCAAATTATATTGTTTGTGAAATAATAAAACAGAAGATCAGTCAGCGCAGAACAACGAAGAACAAAGGCACACTTCGCCATGATGTGAAATCCTCCAAAAGGTAACAGATTCTTGCCAATATTAAAACTTTAGAGCAGCTTAATATATATATTCTAAAGCTTAAATTGTTTTATATTGTAATGTTGGTTTACTGGTTCACCCAATATTTACAGTCTATGGTTCACCCACTTACCACCATTCTAGGCAAGGAAAGTTTATATGTATACCAAAGTTCATACACAAGGCAAGTGCTAACAAAACCACACAGAACCATAGAAACAATCACAAAAGGCATTGAAATTATAAATAAACACAGTACATCAAAAAAGAGTTAAAGGTATATTGGAGGATTTACCAAAATTTTAGGAAAGAACCGTCCTCTTTACTTATTGAACAAAACTCTGGTCTTATTTGACGAGCATGTATCACCAGAATGATTGACAATTGGGAGGTCCAATAGTTTTTATGATCCACCCGGAAGTACTAACCTCTAAGCTAAGACCCCTCAGTTGTATACACAGCTAAACAGAACTGTTTTTAACCTGGATTTGAACATTGTCAGAGTAGAAGCCAGTCTTACATTTTCAGGAAGACTGTTCCAGATTTTAGCTGCATAAATCTGAAATGCTGCTGTCCCGTTCTAAACATGTACTTTGGGGTGTTTGCTGTCTGCCACACGATAGACATGCTCTGGTAAATTCAGTAAATTCAGTTAAAGTTGGGGTATCTATCCATCCATTTTCTTCCGATGTATCCGTTGCCAGTGTGAGGGAGAAGAGCCGCCCCTCTCGACACACACTACCTTCAGCTCATTTGGGGGAATCCCGAGGCGTTCCCAGGCCAGCTGAGAGACAGGTCTTCTCGGGAGGGATGTTAAAGCTGGAATAGTAATTTCTTTCTTTCACAAATACAAGAAAAAGATTATTGTTAAAGGAAAATGTTGAATGAATAATGTCTTCATCAACGTGAACAATGTGAGACACTTTGGGCTGAGAGCTGATTGAGCGAGTGAAGATGGTCTCCTCTTTGTCACTTCTCTGTCTGAAAAAAACAATCCAAAGATGTGATAGAGGCCATGAATACAAAATACATGTGATAACAAGTTAGTGATAAGAACCCAACTGTTTGGAGAGCGAGAGACAGGTTACATTGGCTGTATTGCCTTTTTTTTATGTGGTTGAAAGTTAGGCACCCCAGCTGTCATGATGAAACTATACATCCTACTCTTAGCATGTATGTTTCATCCACCAGAGGGCGACAAAGTATTGTACACGTTCTACGCACCATAACATAGGAATACAAATTACTAGTACGCTGCAGGTACCAGTATTTTTTTTTTTTATTGCTGGTTGATACATAGGCTTACATTTAGCTTAATCTAGCTTTTTAGATTTGTTCTACAGTTGTTCAGTTGGCTTAGAAATGTATGTTTTGGGTTTCTGTTAGACCTACACCTACATTGTATACATCGACAGCTTTTTAACGTACTGTTATTAGTTATGATTTTAATGCCTTTTTAATGTGACTGTTTCTCTCTTTAGTGAAGCTCTTAGAGTTGCCTTGTGCATGAACTGTGCTGTATACATTTAGCAAAAACGTGCCTTGCCTTTGCTTAAGTTATACTTGCTCAATAATCAGCAGGCATTACTGTCCGTGCCAAGCTGGGATTAAGAAATAGACATTATAGAGCTTTACTAAAGTGGTGACTACGCCCCTAAACGTGCCCGTGGTTTGGTGAAGTTCACACCTCTGCACGCACGCGGTTGTGGTACTGATGCTGCAAGACACACGGGGATGGACCCAGACTCTGAACTATTATACTCAGCCTGCATGATGACGCTGGATGCACTAAAGACGGTATTCTCATAGTACTAACACGTCCTTTTGGGTGTTCTAGTCTCTCTGCGCCGGTTCGCATATGCTGCAGGCGCTAATAGGAGGGAGGAGTGTCTGTTCTACCGCCACACAGAGCCCACTGTGTCACCGAGTGTGAGGAAGAGGAGGAGGAGGAGGAGGAGGAGAGGGAAGATGGAAGCGTGAAGGCGGATGCTCCTTCACTACTGCTGCCACTGCTGCTGTTGCTGCTGCTGCTGCTGCTGCTTTACGTGGATGTATCGTGCGTTGGGTATTTCGTATCTTTTCACCTGCAAATGTGCTGCTATATTGTCGCGTTTCCAGCCACCACCCCTCTGACTGAACGCATCGCCTCCATCCGAGACTGAGCTGTCAATCAGGGCGCACCGGGCTTGGTACATGTGAGAGAGAGTCCATGGCGAGCCGGGCTGGGCAGATCTGCACACGGGCTGAGCTGACACTGGATAATATGGACGGAAGGTCAAACATCGCATCACTTTGATAAGGTAAGGTTTCTGTATATGTAGGCGTGCATGTGGCTACAGTGTGCATGTGGGCTCTGCTGGGAATGAGCGTATGCAGGCTTCTGGTGGCCACGCGGCGTTTATAGGCCTTTTTATGGCAGATATTGCAAGTGTGTGTCAAGGCCATCCACTTTGATTAGCCTCCATTTCGATATTTATTTAAATATACATGCATGCATTGGCAATTTGCTTCAAGTCAAGCTGCCTTATGTACAACATGTGAGCTTTGGGGGCTCTGATAAATAATGTAGTTAAAACACTATCAAGTAATATAGCTGCTATATTTGATCTGTGTTTTATATTCTCTAAAGTATGCTGGGAAATATTCTGGCCATTCATCTTTAAAAAGAGCAGGTACTGTACTGGTTGTCATAAGGTGGCAGGTGTTTTTGGTGGAGACAGGTTTCAGACTGGTTTCATCTGGTTGTTGTCGCCTATCTAAAAAGTGATTAATATCATATTCTGCTTGTGAACAAAATTATTTAGTTGCCATAGTCACAGAATTGCTACATGAGCTCCTACGTCCAGCACACTTTCCATACAGGGACTTGGCTTCCCACACACGTCGCCCTGATTTTTTTCTGACATTTTCTCGTACATATTTACGTTATTGATTCAAGTCAGGTTGTAACTTTTTGTCTATTTCACATTCCCCATCTCAAAAAAAGACTGGTACCTAAAAGGTTAAGTCAAAGGTGTCCAAACGTTTTTGTTAGTAAGAGGGCAACTTCAGTTCACCCACAACCCATATTGTAAAACTGTTTGGACTGGATTCATCCTATTCTGGGCTTTATCATTAGTTCTGACAAAGCTAAAGTTGGCTGAATGACAAATGACCATCTCACCAATTAGGGCTGAACAATATAAAACAATACAGTTATCACAATATTTGTGTGTGCAATATCCATATTGAAAAAATGCGCTATAAAATGTTTTTAAAAAACAATGATATATATATATATATATATATATATACATTTTTTTCTATATTATTATTTATTTATTTAACAAAACAGACAGACACATCAGTATTCAACAAGAACAACAAACAAACAAACACAAAAGTATATAAATATATGCTTTTGAATGTCATTGAGTTGTGATTATTTTTGTATTATTTGTCTCTTGTGTTTCAATGCAGATTGCAACTTTAGGTGAAAGACATAAATATTGTAATAATATCGTTATAGAAATACTAAACACTCATACTGCTGTAATTTCCAATATCGTGCAGCCCTATCACCAAAAACATTAGCGCCACAAATGACGTTTTGTGACACAATCAAAAATAAATGTCATTATAAAATCCAGAGGTCCTGAACTTTACGACATGTGTGCATGCCTATATTGACTGAGCTGAAGTTGGCTGGATGACAATGTGAACTTGTGTTTATAATCTCATAGACGACTTTGTGTTAGCGGCAAAGGGCCACATAAAATGACACAGAGGGCCGCAATGGGCCCACGGGCCTTAGCTCGGACTTGTCGTAGGTAACTCCACAGTATCACAAGCCTGCCCAGGGACAGCTCCATAACAACAAATCTATAGGTTTCACTTTCCTTTTAAATATACTTATATTGAAAGTCATGTTCAGAGTCAATCAGCAGAAGGTACGGCCTTAATAATCCAATAGAGGTAGTATAGCTTTGATGATCAGGCTTAATTCAGTGACAGATGATTGTGGGCTATTTACCGATCCCAGAATACAATTTCATTTTGACCAGTTTGTATATTGTCTCCATTGGTTTAGGTGTACTTTTTAGCACATCCTATTTCTTCCGCTTTACCCGAGGCCGGGGCAGGGAGGCAGATGTCTGATCCTCATGTTCCTCTACATGACTCTTCTCTACTCTGCTGTAGGGTTGGGCAATAAATCGAATTTAGGCAATTAATTGGCTTTTGAAAAAAATCAAATTAGTGAAAAATGTGAAAATTGTGAAATCGAATGAAGGATATTGTGAGAGTTCCAGCAGCACATGAATTATATTTGCAATATCAGCACAGTCTGTGCAAGACTTTTATAATACGTATTGGGGGAAACAAAATAAAAATGGTTTTGTAACTTGAATATTGAGCGGTAAGATCGAAAAGTATTTTAAAGGGCGAACTTTAATGAAAATCGATTTAAACTCGAAATCGTCCAGAGCAGGAAATAAAATCGAGATTTTACTGTTTTGCCATATCGCCCAGCCCTACTCTACTGTACTAGGCTCTATGTCTGGTTGTATTTCCATTACACTTTAATATCAGGTACCGTATCCTAGCAACCTACTCATAATAAATCCAGTATCCATGGATGGCACTCTGGCCAATCACTGTCAGTTAGAACTCTTTATTACCAGCTCGGCCAGGATAGAACCAGGACCTACAGTAGCAGGTACTAAAAAAGTACCTAGTACCGGTCAAACAGGGCCGGTGGAAAGTTGGAAACTCTCCCAATCAGGGTAGAGTAGAGTAGAGCTGACTAAGGCCAATAGGGCTGGTGGAAACAGGGCTATCGTCCGATCCGAGGTCTTCCCCTGACCTCCTCTCATTGGGAAACGCCCAGGACACCTCTACTCTGTCGTCTTATAGGCAGTTGTTGTATGTTTAGTGAGAAGTAGTGCTTGAATCGAAGACTTCATACTTCACTCTGATGTAAGATTAGTGTGAGCACAGAGCTGAAAGGGGTCGTGTGTGTGGGAAGTTTGTGTGAGCTGAATCAAACAGAAAAGCTTTGAATACGTGTCTGATATAACCTGTAGTGTAGATTCTACTCCTCTCTCAATGCTCTCCAAACTTTCTCCCCTCCTCTCCTCGCACCCCTCTCTCTAAATTGTCTCTCCTCTCATCTCTCTTTTTTCACTCATCTCTAAACTTTCTCTCCACTCACTCATCTCTCTCCCCTCACTCCTCTCTCACCTCTCTCATTTCTTGCCTCTACCCCCCCTTTAATGTTTCTCCTCCCTCTCTTCCCTCTCCTCTCGCTCCTCTCTCTCCTCTTACTCCTCTCACCCATCCCTAAACTTTCTCTAATCCCTCTCCTCTTTCACCTCTCAGTTTTCTCTCTCCTCTCTAAACTTTCTCTCCTCCCTCTCTATACTTTCCCTCCTCCTCCTCTCACCCCTCTCTCTCCTCTCACCCCTCTCTATCCTCTCACCCTTCTCTATCCTCTCACCCTTCTCTATCCTCTCACCCTTCTCTATCCTCTCATCACTCTCTATCCTCTCATCCCTCTCTATCCTCTCCTCCCTCTCTAAACTTTCCCTCCTCTCCTCTCACCCCTCTCTCTCCTCTCACCCCTCTCTATCCTCTCATCCCTCGCTATCCTCTCACCCCTCTCTATCCTCTCATCCCTCTCTATCCTCTCACCCCTCTCTCTCCTCTCACCCCTCTCTATCCTCTCACCCCTCTCTCTCCTCTCACCCTTCTCTATCCTCTCACCCCTCTCTAAGCTCTCACTCCTCTCCTCTCATCCCGCTCTTTCCTGGATGTTTGTTCTGGGCAGTAGTCCTCAGTAGACCTCCTCTCAGGTTAACTATCAGCTTAAATGCTCATTTTATACAATAATTATGTCTTTCATTGCTTTAACACATTTTTTATTTATTAAATCTTTTGTGTGATTTATTAAAGATGCAAACTCCACTCAAAAAGCACGGACGGCTTGATTGTGATTTGTCCTCTGAAAATACCTTTCCAACATCTTCTCACACGCCGCTCTGTCCATCATTCTCTCATGTCACTCTTTCAGTGTAGGAGGATTCTATTTCTTCCTGCCGACAGTCCAGCACTTACCATCTGAAGAGTATCTGGGTGACAGAAGGAACCAAAGTTTAAGTTGATTTACGACAAAAAAAAAATCTTTTACATTTAATACAACATATTTTGGAATATATATTTTGATCATAATTATATCCATGTGTTTCAAAATGTCAAAATACAGGATTCTTATAAGCCCTGTTTCCTCTAGCCCTACTTTACTCTACTCTACTCTATTCTACCTGGTTGAGTTTCTATTACCCTGGTACCATATCCTAACAACAAACCAGTATACGTGGAAATTCCATGGTAACTATGGCTTCTAGCAGCACTTTGGCCAAATACTGTCAGTTAGAACACTTCAGTACCAGCTTGGCCTGGATAGAACAAACAGCCTAACAAGTACTAAAAAAGTACCTGTTACCAGTTAAACAGAGCCGATTGAAACGCTCCAAATCGGGGTAGAGTAGAACTGAGTAAAGTAGAGTATTGTAGATCCGAGTAGGGCTGGTGGAAACAGGGCCTGTCTGTCTTTAGTCAGTGAGAAGACATGCTGTCATTCCAACCCATTTTTCTTGGTAACGGGAGCCAAACACTGGATTGGTCAGCTTTTATTGTTCATTGATATTGAATTTTTCTTTCTTTCGATAATTTATTTATAACCTGCACAACACATTTCTTCACATATATAACAATATAACAGACGGATAACAAGGTCATGGTTGGATGAAGCAAATGCTTATTTGATTTCACCCCCAATATTTTCAAGTAAATTTATATAGAGCTTTTAAAAACCAACATAATGAGTAAGTAAGTAATGTTTATTTATATAGCACATTTTACAGACCAAGGTCATACAAAGCGTTTTTCAGATATTGTTCCAATCATTCCACACACAGTGATGGCGGGACACACTGCCGAACACACTGGAGCATCAACCCCCAATCAACACCATCCATTCACTCTTCATTTACATTCATACCTATTGTGCATGTTTTTAGTGGTAGAGGAAACCGGAGCACCCGGAGGAAACCTACGCAGACACGGGGAGAACATGCAAACTCCACTCAGAAAGGCCCTGTTCCGACCGGGATTCGAACTCAGGACCTTCTTGCTGAGAGGCGAGAGTGCTATCCACCCATCTGAGACCATCTGAGTCTAACAGCTACAGATACAGAAAACCCACAGACCATAGAAAGGAGTGGACTGGCGGAGTGCTGACATTACCCAGTGATTGCCTTATCGCAAAAGAACCTGATTAGAGATTACTCAAACTGGCTTTATGGGCTGAATCTGGAGCCAAATTTGGAGATAGCAACGACCTAGCAACCAAAGAGCCAATCAGGTGCAAGGCTCCTGTATGCCCACATGTGTATTTGCACGCCAACAAACGATGTCAAAGACAGGGTAGTTCACTTTTCAACTCCCAATAGGAGAGAGCCAATGACCTCTCTCCTATTGGGCTTCAATTAAGCCCAATTTTAAATGTGGCGGCTATTGTGGGTTAGCTTTGTCCACTCATTATAAAGCCCTGTTTCCACCAGCCCTTCAACCAGTGTGCCGTTGGTGTGTGTGAAGGTTAGAAAAACGTACACTGGGAACGTGAGGTACGCAGTGACACAGCTTTCAGTCATAAAACACACAAGCGTTAATCACGTGATGAAAAAAAATTACGGTGTTAAAATGGCTTTGCATTAACGCCGTTATTAAAGACAGACCTATTTAAAACACTTGATGAGAATGACTTTGCTTTGTCCATAAAGGCTGCAGTTTCATGTTTCTATCAGTTTCAGCTGGTGGTGTGCATGTGATTGTTTTTAACGAAAAACAAGTGCCTCTACTCTACTCTACTCTACCCCGATTAGGAGTGTTTCCACCGCCCGTGTTTAACCAGTTAACCAGTACCAGGAACTTATTGGTCCTGGTTCTATCCATGCTGAGCTGGTACTACATTTGTTCTAACTGACAGAGATTGGCCAGAATGCTGCTAGAAGCCATGGTCATCAAGACATTTTTGCGGACACTGTTTTTTTGTGGGTAGGTTGCTAGGATACGGTACCAGATCCTTTTGTGTAATGTAAATGCAACCAGGTAGAGTTAGTTGGGTAGAGTAGAATGGAGTACAGTAGAGAAACGTGAAAGTAGGGATGGTGGGAACAGGATATTAGAACTGTTTAAGAACCAGCTTGACCCTTCAGAACCAGGGCCAAGAAGGTACCAAATAAATACCTGATACCGGTAAACATGGCTGATGGAAATAAATAACAGAGTTCATGGACTTTTTATTTTGGCTCCATCAAGTTTTAGTCTAGATGTCAACTATAGATAATATACAATAGGTGTCAGAATGGCCTGATGAATGAGTCATGGAAGCTAACGGTTAAGCTGTTAAATAAATAGATAAACCTAGAGCTCATCCCAACTGTCGTCTCCACAGTGACACTGGGCCTTTATCGCAGTCGTAGAACCGAGGAAGAGGAGGGAGGATGATGTGCGAAGTGATGCCCACCATCAGTGAGGGAGACTCGGCCGCCCCGCCGCGTGGCCCCGGGGGAGTGCAGAACGGCTCGGAGCAGGAGGCCAACTTCGAGCAGCTGATGGTGAACATGCTGGACGAGCGCGACAAGCTGCTGGAGTCGCTCCGAGAGACGCAGGAGACGCTCATCCAGAACCAGACCAAACTGCAGGGGGCGCTGCACGAGAGGGACATGCTCCAGCGGCAGATCAACGCCTCGCTGCCACAGGTGAGGAGTTACACACAGGGGATTAACGGCTGCTCTGGTTTCAACATCTTTGCAACAGTTTGGGCTGAGGCTGGGAGTGAAGATGGAGTCATACTGTCTGGATGTGGTTGACCTGTAGAGATTGTGCTAGCCTGTGGTTTAAAGTGGTTGTTACTTAATTTTTTGTTCTTTTTTTTTAGAGATATATATTTTTGTACCTCAAGTTTTGTTATTATTGTTATTGTTATTCAATTCTATTCCACGTCATTACAGACTCTAGGTTAAATTAAAATTATATATTTATTTAAAATCAGAAGATAACATTTGTGGCTTTTGTGCAGCACATTGATTAGTTCAGAGGTCTTCCCGTAGCCCTGAGTCCTGCTCCTGCCCCTCAGTGTCTTCTGCAGCTGGTTTTTACAGTGTATGCACACATTTTGACAGCTGCAGCAGTGCTTAGACCCACAACCAACAGGTTTGATATCACACTTCAGCAGTTGTATGTTCAGGAGGTTAGAGAAGTGTATGAAGTGTGTGAATGGTTTTACAGTATTGACCTCGGTATTTGTCAGTCTTGGTTTTTGCTTTGACTTAAACCGTGGTTACTCTGACAATCGTTGTATTGACAATTAATGGAGGTAAGTGTGCTTTTTTGGGGGTTTTTTCCCCAAGAGAACAGTGGCTTTTGGTGTTCATGTATATAGTTAACCTTACAAAAAAAAGTGCAAGCTCTTGAAATATTTACTCGTAAATGCCCTGAAATAGACGGCAGTCTGGAGCCCGCATTTGTGAACCAGTCAAATTGTCTGACAGTATTGTTTCGATGAGATGCCATGAGTGGTTGTTGGTGGTCAAATGTTGTAGGATAGCAGCCTCCCTTACCTGATTCTACCCCAAGGCAGATGTGGCTATATAACTAGCATACCACCAGTGAGTATAACATGAAATATTTTGAGTACGGTGTGGGGCTTTGACAGGATTAAAGCACGAAAGGATCAATGCGATGCTGAACCAAAGCTCAGAAGGTCCAGACCACATAGAGAGAGTTTTGTCTGGACAGGACTCTCATATCTCACCTGAAGCACTGAGACACTGTTTCTCTGGAGAACACCGAGCAAAATAAACTCAAATAAACTCTTGATAAACAATATGTGCCCTCGCTGTGCATTGAGAGCAGGATTCACTTTGCACACAGAGACAAAAGGCCAGGACTGGAGAGGAGGCAGTTAAGAACAAATTACTACTGTAGCCACAGCTGCCCTGGGGCACACTGGCAGAAATGAGGCATCCAGTATGTGCCATCGGCCCCTCCGACCACCACCGACCATTCACACACACACCAGATTAATTCTAGGCAATGTGCGTGAAGTGTGTTTTCTAAGGACACAACAACAGTTTGCCACACTATGGCACCTGGTGTTCCCAGAGGTCTCCCATCACAGTACTAACTACATCCTGTCCTGCTCAGCTTCAGAGGTCTGACAGGATCTGGCTTTCTCATGCAGGTATAGTCACAAATAGTGAGGAAAAATGTGAGAAGCCTTGGCGAGACCCAGTGTGAGAGAGGGATCAGCTCCCACAGATGGACAGGCTGTAGATCCAGGACTGAAGAGGTTCTCAATACAATTGTTGGTCAAAATCTTGTTTTTCTTTTATTTCTAATGATCTGACAACTCAGGTAAATTTTGAATATAAATTACTCAAACAGTCACACTGTATATTTTATACACAATACCCCAATTCCATCAAAACACCAAAGGGCATTTACATACACATTTTGACCACCGAGAGATTACTACATTTGCAAAAGATGTCTTCACGTTTTCCTTCCTCACTAAATAATCTAAGTACCACTATTGTGTTGGCTCTACATCCTTGAGTGAAGCGGTGGAAGTCTTGGGGGAGGTCTGATGACCGTCTTGGGCTCAGTGCACGGAGCATAGTCCCCAGAGTCAAGGCCAGTGTATAGTGTTCTGTATCTTCCACAATGTGAGACCCTTTTCCATATTTAATGTTCTTCTAATATTATCCAGCGTAGCCGTCTTGTTTACATAGACGTGGTTCTGCTGCTTTATCCTGTCCCAGTCAGCAGCAGCAGCACGTCCTGGGTACATCGAGCCAAGTTACCCTCTGACCTTCCCATCTAAATGCGAGTCATGATGTCGCCCCTGTGAGTATGTGTGCATGTGCGAGTGTGTGTGTATATGTGTATATGTGTGTGCGACTGTGTGGGCGTGCGTTTATTGAGGACCCCTTCGAAAAAGGGGCAATCCATAAAAAATAAATATGTGTGTTTGTGTGTGTGTGTGTGTGTACGTGTGCATGATAAGATAATAATAATAATACATCAACAATAATAATAAATCATTTCTATATAGCCCTTTTTGGAGTCTCGAAGACACTAGATAAGATTAGGTAAACCTTCATTCGTCCAATGCCAATGTCATAGTTGCGCAGATTATAGCAGAATAAAAAGATAAAATATATGTGTGTGTGTGTGTGTGTGTGTGTGTGTGTGTGCACGTGTGTTAGTGGGGGTGGGTGGAAGAAAGAAAGAAAAATTGATGAAGCTGAACTGCCGGATATCTAGATGGATGGGATCAGCTGACCGGTTCTCAAAACGTTTAAGTGGTCAGTACAGACCGCTGTCTCTGACTCTCATGACAAAGAAAGAGGCAAAGATTTGTCATAATCGTCCGTGTTTTATCCAAAACATACTGTGTTTATCCAAACTGTCTTTGTGATATGTGTGTTATTGCTCTCTGCTGTTTATTCTACTGTTTGTCGCATGGCGCCGTAAAGATGGCGCCGTGGCAAGAGCTCTGGTGTGTGTCGTCTTCTCTGTCTGGTGCACACTGGGGTAGTCTTGCACAGTTTTTCCAATGTGGTTTTACTGTAAATGGCAAATAAATGAATCTGAATAATGTCCTAAAAATGAAGATGTCAGATTTTGATCAATACTGCACTAATAAATACCTAACACGATTCCGTCTGCTATCGATTCTCACAGACGTAGTTAGCAGCAAACCAGAAACTGATCTTTCATTGAGCAGAATGTACAACGCTGCTATATCACCGGTGTAAATCAGAATCAGAAAATATGTCAGCAACAAAAATGTTGTTTTCTGGGGATTTTACTCAAAGAATGAATCAGTCTAAAAGCAACTTGAGTTAGGCTATAAATTAACTTCCTGGACACCTGCATATAAACTGCTCCAGCTAAATGTCAGACTGAGTTGTAGACGCAGACGACTGCTTTAACTGGTAAATACGTGATTTAATGAGGAGGTGTTTCAATGCCCTGTCAACGCTTATGGACAAAGCTAAAGGTAAATACCACAATGAAGTCTGAGGAGGCAAACATTAACTCACGTTAGCATGTTTTTAACTCTGAGCTTCCATGACAGGACCCCTTTACCTCTGTGTTTTGACAATAAACGTGTCCCCTAAAGCTACTTCAACTTGATTTTTTTATTCAAAATAATCAGTCCATTATTTGACAGCAGCTCAACTCTACCACAATGAAATACAATCATCGGCCACATCCCTGTGTAGACCGCAAGTTTCAAAGAACTAGTCGACTACTGGGAAAAATCCACTAAAACAACTGTTGGTACAGACATTGTGAGGTTCTGAGTGGTCTGTCCTTGTCACAATAACTGTATTCTAAAATAAACTGGAATATTTCTGCTAACTTATTGAAGGCAAAATGCACCAAGCTTAACAACAACAATATTATACAAATGTTATTGTACATTTCTAAATCGACGAGATCAGTCATAACTCGATTATTGTTTCTAAATAACCATGCCGCCCGCCAGCCGTTAGAGCTTGTGTTTCACAGCAAGAAGGTCCTGGGTTCAATTCCACCCACAGGCCTTTCTGTGTGGTTTGCATTTCCGCACCACTAAAAACATGTACAATACGTATGACTGTAATGAGAGAGTGAATGGTTTTGTTGGTTGGGGGTCCGTCATCACCGTGTTGGAGAGAAAGAAAAAATATCTGAACTTTGAGCGTTGTGAAGCGCTTTGGGAGACCTTGGTCTGTAAAAATTCAATAACTTACTTACTAAGATTTACATTTGAAATAATTGCTTGAAAGGGTTAGGGGAGGAAATAAAGAAAGCAGAGATATAGAATGAAGAGAAGGAGAGAAGAGGAGAGTGGGAACAACTGTGCACACCGCTCAGGGCACATGCATCTGTTACTGCCATCAGGGAGACTGTGAAAAAGCCAGTTACTGTATAATATTTGTTAATAACACTATGAAAATATATATTTGTATGTGTTTTTGAACCAAGTTTCCCCTTTCACATCTGCGGTCATTCATAGAGTCTTAGTTTCAAGTCCGGGATCTCCAACATCTGTTCATCCAATCAATGGCCTGTGCTCATCGGCGTACGCTCCCACCGTGGACGTCCCAAACATTAGATAACGTGACGCAATCCATGTATATCTGGATTTATAAAGAAAATATCAAAATATAAACACCAGGATCACAGAGAGCACTAATCCACAGATTTAAGCCAAAAATGGTGAGTGTGACACAAACGGTTACTGAGCTAGTGGAGTCGATAGATAATAATTCAGTAATGTGTGAAAAAAAAAAATTGATGCATTTGCCAAAATCATTTCAATATTGGCGTTTTGTTTACAGCAGGAGTATCCAAACTTTGTAGTAAAAGGGCCACTTTAGTTCATCAGACTTCACCTGGGGCCAACGACCTGGATTTAAAATCTGGATTCGAGCAAGATTGACTGGATTCTAATATTTAAAATGGGTTATGGTACGTTCTTATTGATTAACCCCACAGTTGCGTTTTATTTGAAATGTTGTAACGATTGGATTCCAGAGGCTCTGAGATTTACAACAAGGTATAGCATGACTGTACTGGTGGGGCTGAAGTTGGTTGGATGATACTTTGCCTCAAATTGCCTCAATGGCGACTTTGTGTTAGCTGCAGAGGGCCACAAAAGTGACTCACAGGGCTCTTCCTTACACACATGTAAAAGATGCTTGGCAGAATGACCCAAACCAAAAACAGTTAGGTAACCCAGCTTTATCTGTGTACATTTTGATTCTTCATTTGGCCCCATTCTCTGCTGGTTCACCTGTGTAGACCATCGACT